TCTTTGTTCAGTGGTAATATTTGGTTGTGGAGTTTTACGGATAATTTGGAATTTGAAATGGGCAATGGGTATTGAAATTGTTCTTGCTGTACTCATTTTCATGGCTGGCGTTACCGGAATATGCGCAAGTAGTCGAAGGTCTGTTTTTCTCTTATTTTTTTATGAATTAAAACTGTCCTCTAATTTTTATTTCAATTTTTTACTTTAAAATTTAAATTACTACTTAAAGGTAGTCTTGATTGATTTTTTTTAATCGAAAGATTTATTTTTATAGATGATCATTCATTGACATAGTGTTTACCGCAGACATAAATTAAATTAAGATTTAAAAAAAATTAATGATACTTGATGATTATCAATTTAATGAAGCTGATTTTTTTTATTTTCAATTTTTCATAATTTATTAATTAAAATATTGCAACTATTTAATTGTACTTTTAATTTTGGAATATATTATTCTATGTTGTAAATAATATGTTTTAGATCTTATAGCGCAGCAACAGCAACATTTATTTTGTCAATGTTGAATTCCATTCTCTCTGTTATACCATTCGCATTGGGTAACAAAATTCCTTTCATCTTCCTATTGTTATTAGAATTTGAAATAAAAATTTAGAGTTTAACAAATTTTACAAATAAAAATTTACTCGATTGCAATTCTAGGTGTTCTTCCGGCTATAGCGAATGCATTTCCCGCACTGAATCCGGAATGGCTATTCGACATGTATGAATCATGGGCCATCGATTATTTGCTAAGTTTCATTTGTTTTGCTGAGGTTAGTCTAATCTTCACATCAAATGGAAATTTGAGAAGCGAGAGCATTTTAGAATCTACAAATAATAGTAATGCTAAAATTGAAAAATGAATCTTAAATAAAAAATTGTTTTTCAATTTTGAATTATTTTTCGTTTGGCTTCTTATAAATTTGCAGTTTTCCAGTTCACTCAAATTAAAACTTAATCAGTATTGATTTATTTAATCTAATAAAAACCCAAATCAAATATAAGAAGAATTACAGATTGTGATAACAGTGATATCATCAATTTATGGATGCAGAGCATTTGGTTTAACGATGAGGCTTGTTGAGAAGCTTCGTTTTAGTGTTGATCTGAACACTGTATTCGAAGGTTTATCACCAGCTAATCAAAAAGAATTACATGGAATTGACAACAAAGAAGCAATATGAATATCTGTTATGATATTTAAAGTTAGCTGTCAAAAATTATGAAACTGTTAATACATGATAACAGCAAGTTGTACCTATCATAAATTAATTACACCTATCTAATTAATATTTTGGGTTGATTGGATGAAATTCTAAAGAACTTCAATTAATTGAATGAAATGGACTCATCCTCGGCTTGATCGGCTAACTGATGACAAAAGTTGTTTTATTTGTTTTATTGTCCGAGAAAATTGTATGGACAAACTGTATGGACAACGAGAATATGCAAATATACGAAATGAAAATGATTCGATCATTCATTCTTTCGTAGTAAAATTTTATTTCCAAAATTTTCTCTGTTATTAATATTAATTCATTTAGAAGTGATTTCATATTATTGGATCAAAAGCTCAGATTTCATTTATCACTTGTTAAAAATTCTTTCATGTCATTCACTGCTTATTCAATCTCTCATGAAATGAAATAATATTCATTTTTGTATTGTTTAATACTTCACACTCATTACTCCATTTATTATCAGCTAACTCTTCTAATTCACGAAAGTTTTATTAAAAAGTAGTAAATGTCATCAGTGGTTGATGATAATTCAACTTGATAATCTGAAACAATCAGGTACACAAAAATTGCTATCAAATACTCTTTATCTTGTTAGCATTTTAATCTAATAAAAAATATAGCAAAAAATGTCTGTTAAATATTAATGTAAATTCATTTGTAATCATTCAGAAAAATTTTTTTCAATTCAATCAAAATTCATTCAATTCCAATTTTTTCTTCAATTTTTTAATTGTTTGTAATCAAATAGTGGAGAAGATAATTACTGGAAGCTAATTGCTCCTTTGACCTCTGACACTTCAATAGATATATAATAAATGAAATTGTTAATGCTAAAAAATAGAAAAAATTCTTTTTAAAACGCACAAAAAGGTATGTAAATTTGTCTCTTTCGTAATTAGAAAGGTCGAACGAGAAATTATTTTCGCAAATATTTGTAGGATGAAATTAAATAAATAAATTGATCAAACATAAGAAGCATAAAAGAGCAGTCAGAAGAAACAAATGAAGAGCGGAATAACTAGATTCGACGAAGCGCTGGAAGGTTTTTTCAGAATTCACTAATTATCGATACTAATATTTAAATTTTAATATGTAAATCTATAAATTCATTTAACTTCTTATTCGTGTGAAATTCCCGAGGGAATCAAATATAACTAATTAACAATAATAATGACAGAATGAATAAAATTCTAGAAAGCAACAATATATGGTTGTCCACTTGTTTGAATTACTGTTGGCCGGATTGACTTAGCGCATTTAACTGAACCGTATCAGGTCAGGTCAGTTCATAAACATCAACTGCTGTAAAACTTTTTGAAGATTGATTTGATTTAGTTGAGATAGTTTGTCGATTGATTAACTGAGTTGTGATTCACCGAAACTTTGTTTAAAGATTTATTTTAACCGAAATTTTATCCAACAATTCCGCTTGAGAAAAGTTTGATGTATTTAAATTCTTGAACAGGATGTAATTAATAAGCGTGTCATGATACAATTAATTAGCTACAAAGCTAGCTGTGGAAAAGTGTGATTTAACAATAGAAATGTTAAAAATAAACCAACAGATTTTAAGAACAATCATGAGAAGGAAATATTTAAATGAACATCGGATATGGAATAGTTTTTATGGTAAAAATTTGTAAATTACAAACAAAAAAAACGATGTAAAGCTCATTTGCATTCATTACAGATGGTGAATCTTCAAAACCTTATTAAATTGTCAACTATCTGATTAACAATTCTTTAAAGGAAATACAATTACTTGTTTACGGTTAAGAACTAATTTCGATTTCCCCGACACCAACATTATATCTGATCTCATTGACATAATGAACAAATATTTGATACGATTTCATTACTCAAACATCACTCAAATATTTCCAACAAAGCGATTACGATTACGATGAAAGAAATCAAAATATTATTCATACATTATGCAGAAATATAAAATACATTCATTTCTCTATAAACTTCGGTGATTATTGTTGGATTGAAATCATATTTAAAGCATGCAAAATTTTACCATTTTCTAAGAACAATAAACATAAAAGTGCTTTTTTCAATTTAAATTGTTTAAAAAGAGATGAAAAGAAATTAAATTAAAAAATTAAACATCAATGTGTTGCCATTTGTAATTGATCATTTGCAATCATTTTTCGAGCTTTTTTTATTTTTAATTTGACAACATCAAAAAGAAAAATGCTTATATACTTCAAAGATGTCATTTCCGAAAACAAAAAAAGATTACACACATCTGTACGTGTCATTCGCAAATATTTAATAACAATGGAATATGTCAAAATACTTTCGCCCACGAAAAAAGTGTTTTTTTTTAGCTAAATTTTATGCTGAAATATAAATACTTATCCAATGATTACTTGAAATTTCAAGTCTGCAACATCAAAAATTCAAAAAAATTTATATAAAATTTTTTTTTCTAATAAAATTGAAGATATACAAAAAGATTTTTTCGCATATTTTTTTTTAAATTTTAATTAACCAATTGAAAGTGTATCATTTATGATTGTTAGCTTTTAAAAAAATAACTTTGGAAAGAAAAGAGGAATTATTTTTGATAAATCTATAATTAGAAAAGTTAAAACAAATCATGCTTATCGATATTTTCGTGCCGCTTTATTGAAATTATTGATTCATCAATTCAATTCACCAAAGAATAAAATTGGAAGAAATGAATTTAAATTTAAAGTAAACAAGCACTTGAATAAGGCAAATCTGATGCTTACTCTTTGTCTAAAACAATCACCTAAAAAAAATGCTCTCTTACAAAAACATCATGAACTGACAGTCGGTTAATAGTCGAGGATGAAATTGTCGACCATTAAACGTTTGTCTGTTTAAAATAAATTCCCAACAAACTAAACGTTTATTCTCTTCAAATTGTTTACAATTTTAATTAGGCAGAAAAAATTTTATTGAAAGCTGTCATCAGGCTAATGTATATTATTTGAAAGTAAGCAGTTAAAAGACTGGTAAAAAGATCAATAATAACATGTTTATGTTATTATTGATCTTTTTAAAAAAAAATTTTTTTTGCAATTTCTTCGTAAAGAAAGTACAAAATTGTATGTAAGAAAAACTTCAATATTCTTTGACTTTAACTTTGAAATGTAAGAAACATAGAATAATTTAGTAAACAAAAGAATCATTGTACATTTAAATTAACTAATTGCAGTTCAAAATAAGTGGTGAATTTGTTATTTAAAAAAGTGGTCCTTAGCGTAGCAATCAATTAACCAAATGTTATTCTTTATTTTACAAAATATATTTTCTTTTATTCATTATTTCATTCATATTAGCGTTTTCATCTAACGAATCATTTTGTGCATTTATTAATATTTCACTCTTTCTGATCATTTGAAAGCGTGTGAATATCAGATTAATGTTATGTAATCTCTTCTTTGTTATTCAGTGTTGGTGGCAATAATCTGATTTAAATTATCTGAATGTCATTTTAAATTAGAAGTGAGAGGGCGTTATTTTTGATGTGTAGCAAAGCAGTGAAGTTACGATTCCGACAAAAAATGACTGTAAGCACTGTCAGCAATGAAAAAGTTGATAGGTATGAATTGTTTTATTTCTCTAATTAATTTATTGTCATTAGTTAAGTTGATAAAGGTTTTGTTTGATAAATGGGAAAGAACATTTAATTCTTGCTTATTTATGCACCAAAAACATTATTTTTCGTTTTAGATAGAAATTCAAACTTTTTTATTTTGTTTTCCAATTAGTTGTTTTTATTAGAAATTTTAATTTTGTTTATCCATTTTTTGGCATTTATTGAATTTAACTTTATTATTACTAAATTTAAAGTGGAAGATTAAAGTTCGCTAATAGCTTGCCATCAATAAATTCGTTTAAAATATTTGGAAATATTAGAAATGTTAAGCTCCGAAAGTTTATTATCCTTAGACTATCGAACGAAGAATATTAAAATATTCTAACTTTCTAAGAAACGTATTTTTTAATTTTAAATTTTGATTTTAATTTTAATGAAAGTAAAATTTTAGCCCTTCCACAGCAACTATAAATTTGGATGAAGGAAAAACACCGTGGGGGTCGGTGTAGGTTGCAATATTGATTTGCAATGTTGCATGTATCATGACAGATGTACAATTTCCAGTATTCTTCACATCCATGTGGCCATATCTAAATGGGGTTGATTTTTTTTTAATTTAAGATTTTAAGCTCATTATTTATTGATTAGATTTATGACAATTGAAATTATTGCTAAAATAAAAGTAAAATTTATAATTTTTAAAAAGTATTTAAGAAAATTTTCTTTTTTATTTCAAAATTTTGTTTAGCACCGAAAAGTGTAAATATTTTAAGTTAATTGGAGAATAAAACAGTGAAAAAATTATTAGAACATTTAATAATTTTGAGAAATTTTAAAAAGTTAAAAAGTTTTTACAGCTTGATTCCTCAGCTAATTTGGAATTTTTCGGTTGGGCAATTGCATCATATTCAATTGGTTCGACAATTTCTAACTTCTTTTTCGGTCTATGGAATCAAAAAACAATGTCAACGAAATATCCGGCTAGCTTTGGTAATTTTCTGATGGCACTCGGGAACCTATTATACGGTTTTTTGCCAACTATTGGTGCTAAAAAATGGTCCATGCTTTTGGCACGTTTTATCGTTGGCCTTGGCTCAGGTTAATTCATTTTTTTAATATCATTGCTTGGCAGTTAATTATTAAAATTTGTAAAACAAAATAAGTGTGTATTATAAAGTAGTATGATTAATTTTAATACTTTAAGTCTTTAAATGATGCTGAAAATTTG